GAGAGAGAGAGAGACGCCGTGGTGGGGGTAAGCTTGAACCGCCTGCCTCACTTGGCCGGAAAGGAAGGGAAGGGAAAGGAAAAAAACCTGCCTAGTGAAAAGGGAGGATGTAAAAGTACGGTATTCCTTCAGTAACGACCAAACACCGTGTAGCAGAGAGAGGCCGGCTGGATGGGAGAAGGAAAAAAGTGCAAATGGGATAATGGATAGGTATCTATCTATCTGATGTGTGTATTCGAGTGACGTCGGAGCTCTGTGCGGAGCAGAGAGAAGGCGAGGGCGAGAGCGAGAGAGAGAGAGAGACGGGAATGGCGTTGGGGGATTATTAACAAATCGACGAGGCCATCATCGGTTGAGGAAAGGTATTTCGGGAGGATGGAAGGTACCCTATCGGTATTTGTACCAGGAGGAACAGGTAAGCTAAAAACGGGATATGAAGGGGAGAAGTTGCGGTTGGCAGCGATACTTGTATAGACGGCAGACAGTCTCGTTGGGTAGAGTGCGAATCTACGCACTCAGCACAAGTGGTGCGAAATGTACTGTGCACCCTATTATCATGATTATTTTTTTTCTCTTCTTTTCCTCGACAGAGCCTCTCTCCCTCGGGGGAAAAGATCACAAACGTCCCACTCACCCAAGATCTGCAACCCCCCCCCAAAAAAAAGAAAAAAGAAGAAAAATGCATGGAACAGTATTCTACCCCTCTCATCCCGTATGGATATCGATAAACATTTTTCCCCTCGACTTCCACCCATCCATCATTCCCCGACATGTCGGGTGCGCCGGGAGAAAGTAGCTCGAGGGAAGAAGGGAAAGGGGCCGAGATGGGGGCATACCGGTATCGAACTGTATCACGCTGTATAATATCATCATACAAGTGCGCCCCGGACGGTATCATACTGTACAGCACAGTATAGCACGCAGACGCGGTATGCTATTACATCCTACACGTGTGAGGAACTTCCATGGAAGAACGAGGACCCAAGGTAAAGCGACCGGGCAACGATGTGCTGATGGGAAGAAGTTTCCCTGCCACCATATCACGCCGAATTGATCCCTGTGCGGTGCGGTCTGATACCGTAGGATCCGTAGCACCCTTCCTTCCCCCAACCAAGTTGAACCAACTACCGGTGTCTACCAAGCCCTGGAGCACCCTCGAGATGCGAAGCTGCACAACCCGATATCATACTCGTTGCTTCCATCGCTTACCCCCCCCCGCGCACACGCACACGCAGACACACCCTCCGGAACCACAATTCTTGAAACCCCTTTGCTACTCCCCTTGACCCATAAGGCTCTGGAGGAATCAAGAACTGCGTACAGTACCGTGTGTTATGGCAGGTGAAGGCGGCCACACCCTTCCTGTCCACCGAGACCTCCAAGCTTTTCCCGCCACTCATCCCGGGTCCGACTACCGGCTCCACGATATTTTGTGACGGTGGCCCCCGTACGAGTATGATATACCGGTAGTATTATACGGTTTTTGTCCGGCCCGTCCTGCAAACAGTCCCAGCACCGGTATCCTCAAACCTTCGCCCAACGGCGACCAGGGTACTTGCCCGGATATGAATGCCAATCGCAATCACCGGGGAACGTTCTGTGCTCTTCCACACATTGACACGCTCGCTAACGCGGTATATACCGGCCGTCCAAATCCATAGTCTCCATCTGTAGGGTTGGGTATGAAGACTTACAAGGAGCGCGTTCAGTATCGGGCATTCCTGTCGTTGATTTCTACTGAATCAACCGCCGCACCGGTATAATGTTGTGGCTGTAGCAGGCCATCAACCGCTTTTACTCGTATTGACTTACCGGTACTTCCTAGCCCTTTACTCTCATAAGCATCTGTTCCCAATCTGCTGTTTCCCACACTTCACCTCCGCATCCTTTCTTCGCCATTTGTGCGAACTCTCATGCATGCATGTAGCGTGCCTCGTAATGGATAATAGCCGAGATGGCGACAAGGAGATTAAATTTCAGTACCGGTAATCTGCTCGCACATCACGGAGCCGAGAACCACAATACGGGACGTGGATGAGGTACCGGTGTCGAGTGTAAGCTCACCCCGTCGGATCAGTGCGAGACCTTGGTTGAGCTCGCACCTGGATGGCGCGGTGTTGGGTTCAACCCGCTCGCTGGTGGTAGGCCGATTAGTTGGCCTATAGTCTATAGTAGTACTCGTACCGGTAATGCATTGCATAGTACAAGTACGGTACCGTGTCTTTGCCTCACACCCCGTCGTCACCAGAGAGACATGATCGAAACGGATGCCACTTTTTTGGATTGCTCTCGTTATCGCGGCAAAACAGGGCTGCCAAAGCGATACGCTGGCTATCCCGAACGGTTAGCTGCGGAATCGCCAGAGCTGAGCCACCGTACGGGTGTTTTCGCGCGTACTGTACGAGCAAGAGGCCTGCTCACGGGATTCAACTTTTACTTTTTTTCGGGACCCGAGAAGGTGGTACAAGTACGGTCCTCGTACAGTACCAGCAGAAGCGATCCGGAGGCAATGCTCGTCGTAGATTGACTTGGTCCGAGCCAATGCTCTACCATGGGGAAGGCGAGGGAATCCTTCCGGTGGGTGGAATATGATCCCCATGGTAATAGCCAGCTACTGTACCGTAATACACAACACGTTACACAGCGCGCGCCATCGTTTATCTGTTTTTCATTACCATCACATTCATTTACTGTACATATTTTCATTTTTCCTCAAAATTTGTCATGCCGTCGATGGTTGGGGAGGACCCCATCCGATCTCCCTGGCTCACTATGATTGTCGCTACGGAGCGGAATCACGGAGGCATTAGAATCTAATGAGTTGGCACCTCTATCCCCGAGTGTTGCCCTACGGTGCTCATGCCACCCCTACAGAGCAGCCGCAATCTCCACTCTTCGTCCGCGTGCTGATGATCCGTTATGCATACGCAAGCAAACCCACCAAGTTACCCTGTCATACCCTGATGTCATACCTGATCTCGTTTCTTCATATCGATTGTACTGTACGAGTACTGCTCCTCCACCACAGACGAACCCCAGGTTCCCCTCACCTCAGCCATAAGTTACAGGGGCCCTCCGGTTACCCAAGGCTGGGGAAAAACAATAGGGAGACAACAGAAACACATCCTGGTAGCCCACCGGATGGAAACTACGCCTCCGGTAGGCTGTTTATCGATTCATCGATCCAGGGACCGCTTCCTTTTCGGGTACTGGAAAATAGAAGTTACTGAACTCATGGGCCCGCCACACCCAACGGAGAGAGCTCCGTGCATAAGCTTCCTCTGTTGGATGATGGAGTAGAGAAGAACGGCAATGCAGTCTGCACCGGTATCCGGCCTGATATGCTGCAATTCCCATCCACATCCACTATCGCGCACTGTCCGGTCCGGTCAGTCCGCTGGGTTTGCTAAAGTTGTATCCTGCTGGCTTCCAATTTTATGTTATCAATACACGCACGGTACAAGGGTTGTATGGTGGACAATCATAACCAGAACCATGGTGTAGACCAACTCGCATCCCCGCGATATTCAGCGGACCATCCCGGAGAAATGGCTCGTCCGTATCAAACCTGATCGTGGCCGTGAAGATACGTCTCCCACCGAATCATCCAATATCCCCACGGTACCTTACCAACCCCCCGCGGTTTCTCCGGCGGCGTGGCATTAGTTAAAGTACTGGCACTGGCGGTAGGTTCGGACATTGGCCCAGGCTACGGCAGCTTTTCCACCATCCGTCCCCTCCGCAACCCTTTTTTCTCATCCAACCTCCGGCGCAGCATACAGCATACGATTGCTTATACAGAAATAGTATGATATGGTACTTCGTTGTCGGCCCTACCTGCCCCGTACGTGTACCGTGTCCCTCCAACCCGGCATTACCCTCTAGGGGGGTGTACTCTCCGCCTGGGTTATCCGTAATCACGAGGGGAAAAGGTAGAAAAAGAAAAAAAGGGGAAGAAAAAAGAAAAGGTGAGGCAAATGTAGTGCGGTGCAGTGCAGTGCAACATGGGGTCAATCCTCAGCCTTATCTCTCTTTTCACCCAACCCCGCCCAACGGCGACCTTTCGACCACAATACCGTACCGTGCTGTGCACATTCAATCCCCGGGTGAGCGAGATAGCGGTTCATCTTATGATTTTATCCCACACGAACAGACCCCCACCCGTTCACATAACCAATCAGTCATGAAACCCCCAAATTATCTGTTGGGCATCGTACTCGAGCACTGACTCCCTCCTTATACCGTGCCTCTTCAACCCCCTGTCTCTCAACCATACCATGTCATAGTATCATACCTTCCCTGCTGCATACGTACTTGTACATACACACATAGCATAACATAACGCAGAGCATGCATACCGGTAATTCACCCGCAGCCGCGGACCGGATCGGGCCTGGACATCCAGTACAGACGGCAAGGCTGTGAGGCTATGGAGAAAGGGGAAAGCTAATTAACTTTGATACTGCACCTGCACTGTACCTGCCTGCCCTCCCGCTTACTTTCTTCACTCCAAACGGATATTGAAATGGGCGTTTCTATCCCCGCATCCGGCATGCTTTTCCGGACAGGCCTGAGGGATCGGGGTATGTGAGCTGATGCTATTCCGCCCCCCTCTCCAGACAGCTACTGTCCGCCCTGTGTATTTTTTTTCTTTTTCTTGGGGCTACGGGTAAACTGATGGCTTTGCATCGCTTTTCTTCCTCCTCCTCCTGGAGTGTAAAAAAAAAAAATTAAAATCGTTGCATTTCACCAGAATCCCTCCAAACGGACGGACTATGTTCGGATACGGTGCGGTACATTCGGTCTGATATTCATGCTGGCCGGATATTTTCTGCTCCTACCTGCACAATCGGGGATGCTGGCCCGTACTGGTGTAGCGTATATCATGGTATGGCAGGTTGGTTGGTTGTCAAGCGTCTTAGCACTTGCTATTTCCGTCTCTCGCCACACTTTAAACCAACGTCGAGTCATTGCTAACACTCTCGAGCTCACCCTGCCGAGCACACCGAACCTGCCCGTTTCATGTCTTCTGGTAGTCTATTCGCAGGGCAACCAGAGCCTGCGCCTTGAGATACTCACTACATAGTACCGGTAGCTTCGGTATAATGCGATACGGACTTGGGTTGGTGATCAAACTACTCTGTAGCGTTTCGGATTCCCCCCCCCTACCAGTGCAGCACAGTTCAGTATGATACTTTTAAAAGGGAGCGGATAGCTCGGCGCATCCTCCAGCTCAAAGTGTGGCTGTAGGAGGAAATACTAGCCTATTACAGTGTGCAGCACCAGGAGAAATAAGGCATCACTTCCACTTCTCAAGATGCAGATCTCGCTAGGAAAAATTAGCCTAAACATGACGAGATCTATACCTTTATTATTACCGTATTGCTATTCCCCCTTTGCAACACCTACGGTAGTGGATCTTGAAGCATGTAAGTTCCAATCATCTGGAGGGAAGGGAGAGCCTAACTTACCTGATCGTAGGTAGTCATGATCAACCGAGGGGCAATGGGAGGAACACAAACGTAGCGACAGGAGCAAGTGATAGCGATCACAAAAAAATCAATAAAGATATGGAACGGGGGGGTAGGGGAAGGAAAAGTAGGGAAGAAAAAAGAAAAAATCATCCAGTAGGAATAAAGACCTCCCTTCAGCCTGTCAAACATGAATGAGCATGATACCAGTAACGGAGGGGGGGGGGATAAGAGCACTCACGCATGATGCTCCCATCTCATCCGCGGGGCAGTCAACCAATACTCGGCTGATTCCCACCACCATGCACCATCTCCTCGTTTCAAAGGAAGCAAGACAGAGTAGAGGCTCGAAACTAGTAGCGGCGATCACCCGAGCCTTGACTTTTACTGTGACTGTGTATCGTTGGAAGGGGGGAAAAGTGCTTCGGGTGCAGTTTCCTTACAACTGCTTTCCGATATCGTCACCTTTTTTTTCCCCCCTCTTCGTTTTTTCTTTTGCTGATGTTTTATTTCTTACGGGTACGCTGGCGCTGCCGGGGAATTTTTGCCTTAGCATCACGCTTTTGAGGACGATGGCGGGGATGATCCAGGGGTTAGGAGGGGCGAGAAAGTGGGAAGGGATACCGGTAATCGGTATGAAGATAGAGATATGATATCCGATTCGTTATTTGCTCTCTTCACTGCGCGGATCAGAACGGAGGAGCATGCATCTCTAACAACGGTCGAGGTCGCTCCATAGCGTAGCATCCTCATGGCCTTTTCGGCGCCCTGTTGGCTCGTCCCTTTTATCAGCGGTTTCCTTTCAAGAGGTTCCTACATACAGTGGCACCAATACGGCTAATACTTGTACAGTACTCGCACAGTACCGTACTCAAGTGATGTGGGAATACCGGCACGCTAACCTGGGAATACTCGAGTAAAGTGCGAGTTGAATGAATCCGGCCATTAGGACGCTCACCTCCGGCCAGTTGGAGGTGGTGGGTTCGTCTGTGAGGGTTAGCCCAACAATCTGCTTGGCCATTTAGCATGGCGGCTGTGCACAAAAGGGCCAAACTGACACACCGACTTGGAGACAATTACCGTATGATCAGTTATCGTCCCCTCTATTGCTCTACCGCATCCCTGCCGTTGTAGAAGACTGATTTTTTTTTTTGGAATAGTGTTCGCCACCCGTAGATGCAAGGTGTTGAGTCCACCATACCGTATTCGGTTGCCGCCGTATTCGTGCTTCAATTTCCGCTCACTTCGTCGCGGTACCAGTATTCGTGCACCTTCCCACTCGTGCTTGTGGAGCGGGGCGGAATTGTTGATTACGGCGACGGCAGTCGCGTGAAGAAAATTGTGGGACAACACACGTTTTGCACCCAAATACTGAGTTTTCG